CACAGGGGAAGGCGGCAAGCTTCTTCCGCTGCCGGTGGCTTCTTCTCACGGCGGTGAGCTTATGTCCTCTCTTCTCTTCAGCTTCTTGCTTGCAGAGTCAGCGAGGAGATGATCTTCATCACTAAAGGAGAAAATTTTGACAAAATGGCAGTTAGAGCTGACTTATATAGCAGTCAGCTCCACCCCTTTTAGCGAATTGAAACGCCATTGGTTCGTGCAGCTACATGAACGTGATCAAATCAGGCTTCAGTATCAGAGTAAACAGGAGTTTCCCCATAGTGTGATTAACGCAACCGTTCGAAAGGGAACTACATATAGTGACCATCACTGTCATAATTTTGAATCAGTATTGTTATAATTAGTATAGTTATAGTAAACTAAAACAAAAAAATTTAAATGGAAAACATAAAAACTGATTCTAAATATTAATAAAAAACTATAATAGTATCTCAGTGATTCTAAATTAACACTGAACTAACCATTTTCAAATGTCTGCTTTATGTTTATGAATTATTCTCTTTGAAAACTGATCTTTTATGCTTGTAAGAGTAACAAGTCAGAGTACCATTTTCACCGTTTTGGGGATAAAATAATCTGTCAATCTAGCTCCTCTGTCCCTGGAGAAAAAGAAATAAACCAGGAATCTCACTAAAACCTCTGAATATGCACCACTGATTCATTTCCCAGTATGTTTCTCCAGCGCCACAGCTATATTTCCAAGCTAAGCTCCTTTCTGGGTTTATAAAGAGGCAGCGTGAGCACAGACTGTGTCCCTGGGATAAGATTTGCTGTTCTTCCAGCCATACAGATCGCCATTACTTATAGCTGACAAGCTTAGCCTGTGATGTGGCCATGCTGGCCTGTTTGAACAACATTAAGCCACTGCTGTTTGCACTGCAGGCATGGAGATGTTTGAAATAGCTTGTCCCAGGGGTCAGAACGGGACCCCTCTCAGAGCAAAGGAACACAGAAGAGCACTGAACCTTTCCACTCAAACTGACCTATCTACTCTAGGAATGTTAAAGGAGTAGGATGATATCACATTACATTTAGTCATTTAGCAAATGCTTTTATCCAAAGCGACTTACAAATGAGGACAATGGAAGCAATCAAAATCAACAAAAGAGCAATGATATACAAGTGCTATAACCAGTCTCAGTTAGCTTAACGCAGTACACATAGCAAGGTATTTTTTAAATAATATAATAAATAAAAAGAAAACAGATAGAATAGAAAACGAATAGAGCAAGCTAGTGTAAGAGGTATTTTTTGCTTTTGTTAATTGTATAATAAATGAAAAGAAAACGGATAGAATACAAAAAGATTAGAAAGCAAGTGTTAGTTTTTTTATTTTTTAAGAAAACAAGCAGCAAATGAATAGAGTGCAAGTCTAAAAGGGACAAGTGTATTTTTTAAAAGAATATAATTAGAATAGAGAGTGCTAGAGTTAGAGGCTCAAATAAAGATGGAAGAGATGTGTTTTTAGCCGATTCTTGAAGATGGCTAAGGACTCAGCTGCTTGGATTGAGTTGGGCAGGTCATTCCACCAGGAGGGAACATTTAAACATCCGTAAAAGTGATTTTGTGCTTCTTTTGGATGGCACAATAAAGCAACATTCACTTGCAGAACGCAAGCTTCTAGAAGGCATATAAGTCTGAAGTAATGAATTTAGGTAAAGGGGTGCAGAGCCAGTGGTGGTTTTGTAGGCAAACATCATTACCTTGAATTTTATGCGAGCAGCCATTGGTAGCCAGTGCAAATTGATAAACAGAGGTGTGACGTGCATTCTTTTTGGCTCATTAAAA